CTAGAGGTCCCGTGCGGGCAGCAGGGCCCCCTCCGGGGCCGGGCCGGGCCTGGCGGCTCCCGGGTGCAGCGAGCCTCCGTGCCCGCCGCTTTGCGAAGAGCCTTGGTGAACGGGTGGATGTGGCTCCAAGCTGGAAAGGCTTCTTGCAGCAGTAAGACTGGAACTACTCCCTTCTGGTTTTTGTTTGTTTGTTACAAAAGCGTGTATTTGAAGAGTTAGAACATGCTAGTGTACAAGAGTAATGATTATTAATCATTGTCATTAATACCTGTACTAGGTATTCACCTTCAAGAGATGAAATCAGCAGCTGCGGCAGCATCAGCCCATGTCTGTTTCTTCTAGGTTCTGGTCGATTCCTGATTTCTGACTACTCCGCTGTATTTACCACATTATCCCCATCTTGACTGAAGCTGAACACCACTTCCTTGCTCGCTGCATGTCCTCTGCTCCTCTCCCAGTTACCTCCTTCCTCCTGGGCAGCTCCCAGGGAAGGCAGCCGCAGGGTGCGATCGCAGATGAGGTGCCTCTGTGCCCGTACGTGGGTCTCTCTTGCCGTTGTGTCCACACACCTGTGTGCAGAGGCGGCATGGGCTGCACGGGAGGGAAAGCGGTTGAGCTGGAGCAGCTCCTGGCTCAGCAGAGAGCAGTGCCCAGGATGGCTGGTGCCGGCTGCCCTGTGGGGCCTCCCTCGCCTGGGGGCTCCTGCCTGGACCTGGCTTTAGGTGTTACTGACCCATCCATCCATCTCTGTCATGTCTGTCCGCCCGTGACAGAGGTGAGTTTCCACCATGATAACCAAGACAATCATTTAATTATTGCTCGCAGTAACTTATTCAAAGTTTTGTGCTTCCTCTAGCTTGTATTACATCTTTCTCGTTTTTTTTTTTTTGTTTTTTTTTTTTGATTGCAGCAGGAGCAAACTCCTCTTTAGACAGATCAACTTCTCTGTCTCAATGTCATACCAACTCTTTTTAGAAAATGTACTCATTATTTCTCCATCTTGTTTTTTAATTTTTCTTTTGTACAGTCATGACTTCATTCTGTTTTTCCCATTCTTTAAGAACTTTTGCTCTTTCATATTCTTTTTCTGAAAGGCTTTTCAATAACATAAAGTATTATGCTGGTGCTGAGAGCCTGTCCTGATCTTCAAGGTAACTTTCTGATGAGATTAATGGGAAGATGGAGAGTTTGCATTCTGTTTTTAAGGCTTTCAGCATCCTCAAACACAAACTTGAACTTGCATTGACTAATTTACTTTTGAAGATTATCTCTGAGGCCACTAATGCTAGATTTTTGCTTTTAAGAGAAAAGTGGAAGGTTTAGTCTTGTCTGCTGTACCTGTCCAGTTTCAGACTGTTGTGCCTGCTACATAAAGGCATCGTGGAAGGCTGACATGGGCTGTGGCTGGTGTGTTTTGATGACACTGCTGAGGTTTCAGTTAGCACATGTCAAGTTTCAGCTGTTTTTACACGGAAAGCATTCTGAACGCGCAGAGCGAAAGAATGAACGTGTACTCTCGAGCTTCTAGGTGATTGTCTGGCAGGGATGTGTGAGGACTAGTCCGTTTTAGGCATCTGTAGTGTGTACACTACCGTTACTGTGTGTCTAGACATCCGTACAACAAACAAGTTTTTTAAGCATGTTCTTGTCAGTCTTTCATAAGAATTAATTTCATTTGCCATTAAATTATGATGAAAGTATTGTTCTCAATGTAATAGTTACTTGGAGCTAAAAGTATTAATTTTAGTAAACACTGTTTTTCAGCATTGTAGTTCCTTAAATATAAAGCTGTATAAAAACAGAGCAAGTCTGAAGAGCAAGATGTGATTTATGTGTAAAAGGCTTACTTTTTGAATTTTGTGATGGTGTGTACTTACAAAACCAAAGATAGTGTTCTTTCGTATGAACTATTGTAACAGATAATATGAACTTTCTGAATGTTCAAGGCTTCTAATGTTAAAACATGCCTTATACCATGTATTTTTAGCGTGGCGTGATTGCTTCTTGTCTTTGATTTCTCTAAGGATTCTTATTCTTTTACTCGCCTCTCTGCTTTTGAGAACAAGACTCTAACATGTCTTTTGTAAAGGTTAAGAGCAAGTTCAGGGCCAGTTATTCTGATGAACAGCTTTTTCTCTTTCTCTCTTTCTCTCTCTCTCTCTCTTTCTCTCTCTCTCTCTCTTTCTCTCTCTCTCTCTCTCTCTCTCTCTCTCTCTCTCTCTCTCTCTCTCTCTCTTTCTCTCTCTCTCTCTCTTTCTCTCTCTCTCTCTCTTTC